ATGCAAATCTTACCTTTCACTCCGTTGTTTATCCTAATCTTTTACATTAACTCTATTAAGTAATGCTAACTTCCAGAACAGTCATTCATTAGTGCTGCTAACATTTTCATTTTGGCTGACAAGTAAAACGAATAAGCCATGTTTTCATTTCTTTTAACATTTCTAGTAGATATGGAGACCAAGATTGTGTAGTCTTAGTTTTAATTCCAGTCCCCTTTAGCTGTATAGTGTTGGTTCGACCTAGTTATCACAATTTAGTAGGTTCGACAGGACCCACGTTTACGCAATAGTGGATGCCTTAAAAACCAAGGATTCTCACGCCCAGGTTTCTTTTACCTGTGATTGAGACCAATGACCTAATTATCCTCTTTCTCATTCCCTCATTCACTGAGGCTTTGTCTGACTTGATTTAGTTAAAACTGATGGTGTGAAGATGGACAGCTGCTCTTCCATTCCTGAATCACCTAAACCTAAAGATTTAGTCAATTCTGCAAGTGTACGTGGGTTGGCAAGTATATTAGCCAGGCATGTAACCACCCACATCTCACTACATATACGCATACACACACACACACATACATACATACATACACATATACACACACATACATACATACACATATACACACACACACACAGATATCGTAACCCAGCCTAAATGTTTGGCATAGAACCTATAAAGATATACTACTCAGATTTTTATCAGCCTGTAATATCTTATACTCCACAGCCACAGTTTTTTTAGTTATCATCGCAATAAGCCAGTTAGTAATATCTTAACACATATGTAACACCACTCGGAGCATGAACTCGGACAAACAAACATAGCCAAACAAACAAAACTACTGCATCAAGCTTCCTTGTTGAACCAATCAAAAGATGGCATTAAAAGTACAGTAAAATACCATAGGATAAGGACTGTTATCCCCACCACTCCTATTGCCCTTTGTGACCCCCGGTGCGGGAAAACTGCTTCTTTGCGCAGACGCCAAATTCTGTCTAGGTTTTGCAAGTACACTCCGAGTCTCGTCCTGTACCATTTCTTGTTTTATACTTGGTAGTCCGTCGAGCGCGGAGCCAAACATATTGTCAGTGATATCTTAATAAATATCCAAGAGTTAATCCCTTACGCCGATCATATTTGCTGATTATATGTTTAGCTCCTCCAACTGCAATCACATTTTCTCAATTTTTATCTATTTATCATGCTCTTTTCCCTTGTAATGTCTCTTCTTGTTGCTTCTGTTG